AGAAAGTCGTAAAGAAAATTGCCAACTGGAGGATTGTGAAAATTATTGGCGAAGCTGGGCAAAAACCCGCACAGATCATTGCCTTGACGTCATAATTTAGACTTTATTGCGATATTATAACACATTCAGGGCTTTGTCACTTCTTTGTGTTTAGTTGTCGCATAATAAGTTTTCTATCTTTTTGTTTCAAACCCGGCGTAAAAAAAAGTATCTAAGGACGTCCGAAGACCAACCGGGGTTGCTAGTGTAAGCGCGGACGCGCGGACCAGAAAAGAAACGGGGTGATTTTTAGTCAGTAAGAGACTGACACTATTTTCCCACCCTGGCCAGGGTGAAAGAAATCATCATATTTTTTTTAGATACGTTATTCCCAATCATAATGCGCGAGCCATTTAAAATGAAATATAAATTAAAATACATATACCTATACAGGGTGTAAGGGACAGCCCTCCACAAATTAACAGGGTGCATTCAGCTCCTTATTCTGAATCATATTCCAGTGAAAATTCTTTCAGGAAAATTTTCAAATTTTTTTTCGTTTTTTCAGTTCCTACACCTATATTTCAATGTATAATTACATTCTATGTATGAAGAATAACATTAATGTAAATAACACAGCTAAAACAAAAAAATACGCAATGGTTGTGTGAATTCTCTAAAGAACTACGCATGAAATCAGCTGTTCAATTTCTACCTAGCGCGAGTCGTTTGAACTCACCGCACCGCGGTCACGGCGCAGCGGCTCGGCGCCCCACCGCGCCGATCGCCGCGCCGCCGTAGGTATACCTACGATCCCGTCCAACGTACAGAATAGCTGCGTCCCTTTCTGTCGATTGAACCAGTGTTGCCAACTTTTAACTTTTGTTACCTCTTCTACCTTTCTCTCTTTCTACCTTTGTAAACGAAAATGTTAGAACTATCGAAATTTATCTAAAACTTGAAAACTCCTTTGCATTCATAATCACATTGATGAGATTTTCATTAATCAATTAATGAAAATCTTGTCGCGCACATAAATTGAATAAAAAATAAATAAAGATTAGTCTAGTTTTAATTTTGAAGCATTTACAAATACTACCTAATTTATTAATTGATTGTTCTTTTTAAGCGATTACTGGCTAGTTTTTAAACTACTTACAGATTTACATGGCTTCACAATAGCCATGAATTGATAGTCGAGCCAGAAATTAAACACAATCTCCCTGGAATGGAAGCACAGCTTTCTATCACGCTGCACTTTAATTATTCTAAATTAACTAAACAATGAAATTAGAATTAAATTGATTTAATCAATTCATTTCTCTACAAAAAATAACAGAATGATAAATTACGACCATGCATATTTTTTTATTTTTTACCCCGAAATTTTGTACCTAATTTTCGTGTAATTGGCAACAACAGATTTATGTTTGTGTGTGTCTCATCACATGCAGTCGCCATTGTGCCTTGCTGCGATGTTACTGTTGTGTACCGCGAGCGTGTACGCGGTACGGATCGCTCGCGCATTCGGCTTGAAAGTTTTGTTATAAGTAGTGTTGTTAAGTTTTATTAGTTATGTAGTGTGTGAAGTGTAGTGAAGTTTTTTTGTAGAAACTGTGCGAAATTACTACCTAGGTACGTTACGTACGTTTAGCGCGCGTGATTATGGGGAGATGATAATGTGTTGTAGTTGTAGTAGTGTAGGTATCCTGACCGTCGGCATCCATCAGACTCCAGGATAATTACTGGTGACTATCAACGCTTGCTAGAAAACCAGCCCATTGTTCCCAGACAAAAAGGCGCTGGAAGACCAATACCTACGTGGATTTTGGAATTGGTTCGCTAACGTAACGAGACGCTACCACTTACCAGTGCTTTCCTATTTAAACGTAGTTTAGGTAGGTTTGGACCGCAACCGTGGCCAGCACGATCCCCAGACCTAACCCATTTGGACCCATTTTTGTGGGGTTACGTAAAAGAAAAAGTGTTTGTGAGTGCGTGTGCAAGTGAGTACGAAATGCGAGACCGCATCACAAATGCTTTCCAGAGCCGGAAACCGGAGCGATTCTAAGGTACCTACGCATTTTTCTTTTTTTATCATTTATCAGTTACCATGTTATGATTGTTAGATTTTCTTTTGTTAGTAATGCGGCTATCTTTTAAATAACAATTTATGGTTATTAAACGTGGCGCGAGCGCGATTATTAAATTGTCTTTTGTAAGTAATGCGGCTATCTTGTAAATAATAATTTATTGTTAATAAAACGTGGCGCGAGCGCGACCGTTTGTCCGAAAGGTAAGGTCGCGGCGCTGCCCATAGTGTAAAGTAATAATACTAAAAGCGCTGCCGTTCGCTGCGTGCGTTTGCGGTGGTAGCGATACATTGCGTGTAAGGCAATGAAACAAATCGGTTTAATTGGATTCCCATAACGTTCCTGAAATAATTTCATGTACCGGTCAACTTAAGACGATATACTGAATCCACCCTATCAGTTTGCGGAAGGCTGTCCCTTACACCCTGTATACACACTCCTTTAACCAACAAAAACATAACCACGTGCCTTACGTGAATGAATACAATATCTCGTTTAAAACCAAATCAATTCCAAATTTGAATAACTGTCAATAGCATCATTTTCTTTAAATATAATGCGAAATCGCTTATTAGATTCAAATGGGGTTTCAATACGGCGCGAGAATTCGACTATAAAAATGTTATAACTCAATCCGTCACACTTATCACGGATTTATTCGCCATAAATTTCGCGTTTTTATGAACGCCAAGTATATGTACTTAGAATGTGTCATTTACAATCTCAAACATTTATCTAGAAAGGATTTGGCTGGATGTAAACACTATTCAAGGATAAAATTACGCTTTTCGACAATAATGTTACGATAAAACCAGAATGCTGAGTGTTTTACAATAACGTGATATACACGTGACTGGGTTTGGCTCTCTGATTAGTGGGTAACTTAGAGAAGGCCAATCAGATCACCGAATGTCCGAAACATGTCGAACGTAAAATAAACTCACACTAGACACTTAGGACGCTTGTTTTTCTCAAAAGGGTTTACTTGTTAACATACCATGTTAGTTTTCATATGTTTTTAGATCAAAGATATGGCAAAATATTACTAACATTTTATTAAACTATTGTTTCAAAATAAAGTATAGAATAACCTCATTGTTTGGTCACAGATTGCTATTAAAAAAGTGCTATTAGGTATATGAGATACCCGATGGAAATCAACTTTCATCTAAGTAGATTTCTACCAATTCTTAAAACACGTGAGATCTAAAAAACTCCCTACAAAAGACATTTATCATAGCTGCACAACAAGTTTACTAACAAAAGCAATCACTAAGGTAGACAAAAACTACTCGGCTTAAAGCATTCTTAGAACCAAACCGTGGTGTTATATGAGAAAATAAATCCGATCTAAGCATCTTGGCTGAGTTAAATCCATAATCGATTCGTAACACAATGGTCTGTACCCTATTCATGGTTAATTGAAACTCGATCCAGCCCTGGATTGGGCTAATGCTGTCTGATATCCTTATTGAATTGCTGAATGATTTTTAATGGAGTCTGGACTTATTTGCGGTAGATAAATGGTCATATAGTAATGTGTAGGATCGATAGATACTTCTACGTGGCCACCGATATTTTTAGGCGTAGGAATGAAATTACAAAACCTAAAACCTGATAAAGCTTATCTTTTTAAGACAATTATTTCGAAATCTCATCACTATTAATCGTCAAAAAGAGGCAAATAGGTTATCTTAACTATATTACAGGACTATTCTACTGAAGGAAGTCTTTTTTTGTGAGGGGAATATCATCAAATGACTTCTCCTGCCCAGGGTCGGGCGGGAGGGAGTGTCAGACTCTTAGTGACTAAAAACACCCCTGTTCCTTCTCCTGCCTAGGGTCGGGCGGGAGGGAGTGTCAGACTCTTAGTGACTAAAAACACCCCTGTTCCTTCTCCTGCTCTGGGCCGAGGTCGCGGTGCCTCATTGCGCTCACCCCGCAACCCCGGCTGAACATCAGCCCTATGGGGCCCCGTCTGTGGTGGTGTAATGGCTCTTTGAGGAGTGGCTTGAGAGACGCCACGGCGTCCTCACCTTCCGTCTGACGCAGGTGCTTACCGGGCACGGCAGCTTCGGTAGGTTCCTGTTTCGGATTCAGCGGGAGGAAACGCCTGAGTGTCGTCATTGTGAGGACCACCTAGAGGATACGGTGGAGCATACGGTAGCGGTATGCCCTGCCTGGGCTGAGCACCGCCGTATCCTCAGGGAAGTGATCGGCGACGGCGACCTCTCGCGCCCGGCCTTAGTCGAGGCCATGGTGCGGAGTGAGAGGAACTGGGACGCCGTCTCCTCCTTTTGTGAAGCAGTCATGCTCGCAAAGAGAGAGGCGGCCCGCGTGAGGGAGCAATCCTCCTCCTCACGCCCCAGCAGCCGCAACTGGCGACACTACGGGCGTCGGGGATCGAGGGACGATCTCCGGCCACCGTAAGTACGGGCCTGCGGTCGGCGAGTAAGGGCAGCTCGCCGCCCGACCAGAACCAGGCCCGAGCGTACGGCGCGTAGCGTTCCGCGCGCGCCTCAAAGAGCCAATAGACCACCACAGACGGGGCCCTAAAGGGCTGATGTTCAGCCGGGGTTGCGGGGTAAGCGCAATAAGGTACCGCGACCTCGGCACAGAGCAGGAGAAGGAACAGGGGGGTTTTTAGTCAGTAAGAGTCTGACACTCCCTCCTGCCCGGCCCTGGGCGGGAGAAGTCATTTGATGATTTTCCCCTCACAAAAAAAAAAAAAAAAAAAAAAAAGGCGCGCGCGGAACACTACGCGCCGTAACTGAAGGAAGTCTTGGAATCGTCCAATTGTTTTTTGCCGATCGGTATACTTCTATTATAGAACTAACCCCTTAAAATCACCAGGTTTTTTATTCCTAAAATCTTAAAAACGACTTTGTATACCTAGTCATCATGTTACAAATATTTAAGAAGTCTTACCAATATGCTGCATATCTCGCCAAGTCAGGTCTCTATTGGCTTGCAGAGCTAAAGCACAGATTCCAGCGGCGAGTGGCGCAGATGCAGATGTCCCGGTGTGCCCCGCTGTGCAAGAGTGATGCAGATCTGTCGTCACCACCTGAGTGACAAGGATGAAAAATTGTGAAAGACTTATTTCATTATTAATGATATAAAATATGCAATTCTCTTGTATACCTTTTCCAGCAAGCACATATTATTTGACGATATGTATTTAAATGAGGTTCTCGTATAAAAGGACAAAGCACTTGACACACTCAAAATATTCTCAACTTTTGTGTCTACTTGAACATAACATTCATCAAAATACGCATTCTATAGAACCTTTCTATTGAAGAAAAACATAAAAATAAAATACACCCTCTGTAAATAATAGCATAACAATACACGAGAAATTGAAGGGGAAAGGAAAAAGCAATCTCGCATGTGCCGTATCACATTCACAGGTTGTTTTAAAAAATTACACGAACTTGAATACAAAATTTTGTTCGCACTAAAATGGAGCAACTATTTTCTACATCGTGTTAACTTTGTCCGAATAAAAAACACACCCTTATATTCTCTGTAGGTATTGTTTTTAAAACCATGAAGTTTGCATACAAAATGTGATCCTGTTTTTTTAAACAACGTGCTTTTAGATCTCAGCAATGGCCAAAGAGAAATATTTAGCCTGCCCGCATTCGTGAACTGTGAAAGAAAATTCTCTTATAAAAAAACTTGAGCATGCTTTTCATTGTTACGGTTTTCATAATGTGAATGAATACTTCGAAATTATACAAACGAATTTGCATACTTGTGGTAAGTTGAAAAGGTTGGAATTTGAATATGTACACAGAATCTTGACTGTACAAAAATCGTTTTCTTTAATAATTTGTTTTGACGTTTAGACTTGGTCGATTTCGATACGCGAACGACCCTTAACGGCCTATCTTAGCACGAATTCGTCCCATCTTGATATGAAAAAGGGCCTACAGAAAGTATCGGTAGAATAAATATCGGATGGTTACAATTCGAACCCAATAGTTTATCTATTCGGAACAATTTCATTCGACCCAAAAGTTTGTTCAACTTTGATTGAGAGGGCGTGTCCTATTTTGTTGTATCTACGTATAAGCAGGCAGGGAACCTACATGGCTACATTAACAAACCAGCCTTTTAATTTACATTGAAATGACATAATTTTATTTACCTCGTCCCCTGTGTTAAAAGGGCAAAGGATGTCGTAGGTACTTGTACTCCGTGTAAAGCCGTGTTGGGACGGAGGTAACTACTTTCAGAGTAAGTGGGATTGAGGGTCCAAATACGTAAAAAGGTAAAACCTCTCGGTAAAAAGATAATAATAGGGAGTTTCTTTTCGAAATCCGTGGATGCGAATGAATATTTTACGTGTACACCTGGCTACTGTAGAAAAATATTTTTACACCCACTTTTGGTGTTGGCTAATAATGTTTCTAGATCAAATAAGAATCAGATAAAAATAAATAAATAAGTCGAGAGTGAGATGTGTGGTCATAACATGGTGGGATAATAAAAACATGCTGAAAATAGAACGTGTGTCATTGATCTTGGAGATCCAAGTAAGATGTCTGTTATAACAGACATCAAACGAAATATGAATCGCACTTCAGCTTTTTTATTTAGTTGGAATTAAGTCTTGAAAACGAGATTGCTATCCTGATTTTAACTTTAAATCTAAACGCTGATTATGTATGACATTGGGGGTTCTAAGGCAAAATGAAAGTAACAATATGAACAATGTGACTTTTGCCATATTTTAAGTATTATGTAGTATTTCTATCATTATTTAGACCACTGACATACGGTAAATGAAAGCATCGTGGGGAAACCTAATCTTATAATTTGAAATAATAAGTTTAAAATCGCCAATTTGTTTTGAGCGAGTGTTCAGACGACATTGGTGATTTTGACAAATGACGTCTGACATCAATTTATCTTAATGAAACGCCTGTCTTTTGGTATTAGCTGCTTCAAATAATAGAGGACTCGATTATTTATCTTACTCACAGAGGATTGATACTAGGGTATAAAGGGTATTATTGAAGTGAAAATAGCATTATAGCAAGGTGATTTTTAAACTTGTAATTAAGGTGTCTTTACGATATCCTTCACCGTTTGTCAGTGGCGTTTTGTATATGATTACATTAGAAAGTGCATATCACTAGAAAAATGTCACATTGGTACTTTACCATCAACTACAAAGAACCACGAAAATCACTAATCGCGGTGACCATTTACTATTTTTGCTCATTATCTTATACTATATAATGTGGAAAGTTAAGCATAAGCCAATTAAAATCTTACCTGTTTCTCATTTATAGCACCGCTGCTGTAAGTAGCTGCCAACGTGGAACTGCACATTTCGGAGTACCAGGGCACCTCCCCTCGCTCCGTCGCCGAAGATATCGACAGGGTCCATATAGAATTGGTATAGCCATCACAGTTGCAGTTATCATGTTCCCTTCCGCCATTTCCTGACGCCCACACGAAAATGGAACCCTTGCCGTTACGTCCCTGTATCGGAAATAGAACCATTAGTCTAGGTCGTAAGTGCTTATTTTGCGTGCCAATGTCGACATACTTTTCGTATCATTTGGAGTCTATAGGTATTAAGCTATGCTTGTAGCTTCAATTTACTGAATGGAGATGTAATGTGGGAACTTTAAGAAGTTTGTTAAAAAGATGTAAAATATATTATTGGAATTTATTACCATGGTTATCAAAGGTGTCTACCGGTAAACAAATATGTAAGCCCCAGAATATATCTTCAATATAAAAAGAATGCGAAGTTCTCAGTACCTTGTACATTTTCTGGAATTGTGTCTCATGTTTGGATTGACATATCAACATATTTTAGTTAGAACAAGTAACTTTTTTATTATTTGTTTAATCTACTTTTGATTACATTCATATCATAAGTACTATTTGGCTGTCATAAAGTTTAACAAGGTGTTTCAAAATTGGCTTACAGCTAGGACACAATTTTGGACCCGGTCGGACACAGCAAAATTTAAAGTAAACATTTTGTAATAATAATTAATTAAAATATAACAAAAACATAACTTAATTACTAGCGACCCGCCCTGCTTCGCACTGGTGTAATACTGGTACTAAATTTCTCCACTATTTAATGAATTTTATTATAAATATATATAAACCTCTTTAATCACCTACATACTTATCAAAAAAAACGCATCAAAATTCATTTCGTAGTTTTGAGAATTTCAGCACACATTTGCACATACATAGGGATATAAGGACTGAGAAAGCGACTTTATTTTATACTTTGTAGTGAATAAATTATTTTCATTACGTTAAATTTATTGTTTTTACTTCATTACATTCTATATTGTAAGGAATATAACATGGTCACATTTACGGACCCTGATGGGCACAGCTAACCAGCTAGCTAGCTAATAATTGGAATAAAGGAAGGCAAAGGTAGCCAATATTTCTTTCATCTCAACTGATGGATAATTTGACGTTTTGTCTTCATAAAATGGCAAGCAATTTATGAGCACAAGACACAATGTTCTCTTCTCAGACCCCGATTTTAAGGAACGATGACTTATGTCGCACGACAGGTAAATTTATCATAACTGAGTTAGTTCATGTCCAACATGAAAGATGGCGCTACGTGCCGTTTTTGGCAAGACAGCCCTCTTAGCATTGAGATTCAACTGTGATAAATTAATGGCTAGGTACAGTCGATTTACTATCTTGCTACGAAGATAATAAGCAGCAAATCAGATTGAATGTATTTTGAAAACTGTTCAACCAAATACGATTTGGTTTTCGATATGTCTGAGTACAAAATTGTGGACTGTAAACCTAATCTTTCTTCTTGGTACTTGTTTATGGATTTATCTTATTATTAAGAAAATAAATATTTTTACGCTATTGGTTGTATGACAAAATCCACTTATTCAAATCCAACAATTATTTTACCTGAGAATAATAATTCTAAAAAAATATAGGCGTCTCAAAAATCTATGCATGATATTTTCAAAACTCAACTATTATTGTTATGAACAAAAGGTGCCGTTAAAATCTACAGGCACTTTCATAGCGAACAACCAACGGCACACTCGTATTGGCTGCAAACAGAGACGATTTTCGTTCGACATTCAAAATTTCGAACATGGCGAACGAAACAAATCATGGAACAGTTTTTGATTCCAATCACTAGGCTTGTACTCGTATTTATATGAAAAAACGTGTGCGATTGAACTGCGGTATATTCCGTATATTTGAATTAATATATTTTTTCTATGAAATATTTTTTCTATATATAAACATTTATGCATAGGCTCCTGGCAAATCAACCTAGCCTTTCATATATATTTAAATTACAACTTAATTGCTGCCAAATTAAGTCAAAAATCAATTGTGAGAAATTTGACTATTCGGTTAGCTTGATGGACATTTTGTCCTTTGCCTGCACCCGATCGAATTCGACCCCGTATAATTTACACTTAGCTCCCCATATGACTGCATAACGATTTTATTTATCAACGAATAGTACCTAACTATCGGATTACCTGATGGTAAGCAATAAACGCCGTCCATGGACATCCGCAATAACGGAGGAGTTACGAGTACGCTACCGACCCTTTGGGGATTAGAAATTTGGAGATTTTGGAATTGGGAAAAGATTGGGGGAGGGGAGAATTGGGCCTCCGTTAACCTCACTCACACTGAAAAACTCAACGCTGTGGTTGTTTTCTTGCCGGTTATGTGTGTGACCGTGGTACTACTCTGGTCTTCGAGCCGACCCGTTCGTGCCGAAGCATGGCTCTCCCACAATTGAACTATCGGGAGACATAATAAACACGTGTACTAAACTTATTGAAAACAACAACTTATTCAGGCGTATTAACTGTAAAATCCAATAGGTTGCGTGACGTCACCGCGCCGCGCACGCTGTTCATGAATAAGAGTCCCATTGTGACTTGAAACTAGTAGAGGTTTTCTCAGCTAATTCACGTAAGTCTTTATTTCCAATATAAGCTTTGATTTGAGTACAGAAATATTGTAATGTAAACGAAAAATGGAAGGATCAAAAGTGTCCATTAAAAAGTTTTACAGGTAATACCTTTAGTGAAAGTTGACTTCACAGGGTGTTAGAGAAACCTCGGAATCGCAAAACACTTGAAAAATCTCAGCGTCTTTTTATTCGGTTCAGTGGTTCCACATTTTGTTACGACAGCTTAGAATCGCTTTTGTTATTGAAAGGCAGATAAATCGAACTCTAGCTCTAAATAAATATGGATTGAAGATTCTTTATTACATAATTGGTTGCTGTGGGCGCGAGCCGCCCCATTCTTAGACTTATTTTATGATAACTTAGGGCTTAATTTAGGCTGTTGAATCACAAAATCGTTACTAAGGAATAGGTAGGATAATGCTTTAATGTCTTCGAGTTTCATCTAAAGATATGACTACATCATATTGTAGTAGTCCTAGTTTTTTTAAACGTGTGCAAACGAATAGTCTAATTACCTAATGAGAAGCAAACAGGTAAAAAAATTAAGATTGATTTAGTTACTCAAAACTCTTTGGTTTTGAAGCTTTTTGTGGTAAGCAATCAATTATTACTGTCTCTCAATGTGATGTTAAGCAATGGGCACCGAATAGAAACACCCACAGTACCAGAGGAGTTATAAGTGCAGTCGACAGCCTTTCCAAGTTGTTAGGAATTTGAGGATGATGGGTTTGGGATAACGAGAGAGAAGATTGGGTTCCTGTATTACATTAATCTTTATTTTTTTTCTTACATTCCTAATAACTGTGAAGAATAAACAGACAAAATAACACCCTTAATTGTGAGGAGAAAATCATCAAGTGACTGCTCCCGCCGAAAGTTAGGCGGGAGGGAGTTTCAGACTCTTACTGACGAAAAAACCCCCCCATTCCGTCTCGTGCTCTGGGCCGAGGCCGCGGTGCCTCATTGCCCTTGCCCCACAACCCCGACTGAAGTAATTATACCCTATACACCGAATTCATAACCTTTTTACAAATACTATTTCATCACGGATGCGTTCAAACAACTGAATACGAACGTCCAATAATAACTAGTGAAAATTGGGCAAATATGAAAACTGATTCTCGATTTCCGACGTTGAGACATACCCTGTTAGTAATTAAAAAGTTTGTTATACTTTGTGTATGCTAGGTTAACAGTCAATGATGTATTTTCGCGATTTAGTCGAACATCCGATAAAATAATTGAAGTACGCAATGTTTTGCTATTTGAGTTTCAATACCTACATGGAATTTTTCATTTTACTTTTTTTTTAATGAGTAGGAGTGACTATATAAAAAAATTTAGTTTTTGACAGAATAATAGGTTTATTTTTAATGTATCTCTTTTTTTATTGCAGTTCGTTGATTCCTTCCTTTAAAATTGTATACAAGTCATTTTAAGAGCTTCAGGAAACTCTACCAAATATTCCGCACCGTCTATTCCTAAATATTAACTTAACATACGCACAGCGTTGAACGTTTTTTTCCCCCATTTACCACGACATAACACACTCAAGACTTTAAATAAAAGTCCCATAAAAACTCGCGAGGCAAGTGTATTAGGCTGAAAAGGTAAGTTTTTCCCTCAAACATACGCGTTCTATTTAAATTCGAATCCCGAAAAACCACAGAGGTAATAAAAGGAGAACTTTTAAACGCACGTCTAGTTTTGTATAAACAAGAACCTTCAAGCTATTTAGAGTTAAAAAGGGTAACAACTTTATGCAAATCGTGCTGCGTGAACACTTGACCGTATACTGTGGGAAAAGAGCAAGAGAGAAAGAGTATGAGGGAGCGAGAGAAATAATTGCATCATTACAGAAATTGCTTTAGCAGTGTCGCACGGCTCGGGTGCCCTTCACTAACTTAGTTACAGAATTACAAAAATACTAAAAGTAAACCTTAAAACGAAACGGTTAGGTTTCAAAGTCACATGTCCCTGACGAGTGACGTTTTTAAGTTGATGATTTAACATGAGCAGTGTTGTGACTTATCATTAATTCTAAGTACAGTCGCAAAAAAAAGTTTTGTTGTTCTTTTTTATATTAAGTACTATTTGGTTATTAACAAAAATTAATCTAAATGTCGTCTCATAAACCTTTACTGTAGCTGCTGTAACATCGTAGGCCCGGCTCGGAGCAGGAGAAGGAACTGGATGGTTTTTAGTCAGAAAGAGTCTGACACTTCCTCGCGCCACCACCAGCGCGAGAAGTCATTAGACGATTTTTCCCCTCTAAAAAAAAGCTGACATAGCATTGGTCGCCGTTGCAATACCTGCAATGCCCGTAACTATCCAATACAAACTGTTTAAACGTATCAAAATGTTCAGTAACCCTCCTCCCCAAAAATAATGTTATTTAAATTCCAGTCTCATTTATTCTTTGATTTTGTTCTTTATTCAATTCAGTGAGATGTATATTCGCGGAGAGAACTCTTTACGCTTTATGTAAATCAAGTGGCGCTGGAAATTTGAGAGTTGTTTGTTTTTAGTGTACTTTACGAGTACGTAAGATAAACGAATGTGTTAGAAACGTTTTCAGCCCAAATATCATTATTATAAGGTTGGAATTTGTAATTTTTAATTAAACGTTTTTCATTACTGTTTTTTTATTTGCCCTCTTATTTTATAAGGCTATTTCTCATTACCTACCCACAAAAAAAAAGTGATTTATTAAAATATGATTTTTTAAATTTATAATCGAAAAAGAAACCGAAAATTAATTTACTAAGCTTTTCATCAAAGACTAAAACCAAACAAATACAGTAGAAAAGAAAATAAATATATTTTTTTTTAATTACTGGCGACGCCACAGACTGCTTTCAAAGCAAAATATAATACATTAAAAACATCAAAACGCTGTTTGTAAGTATTACCTACGTTAAAATTAATACTTTTGATCTTAATAGTACTCACGTAATTAAAAACAGGCACCGTAAGAAAAATATCACTGAAATAAGTGAAGATGTTTTTTTCTAAGCTTAGATTTTTTCGTAATTAATTTTGAGACGATTCCTCCAGAGACTAATTAATTAAATGAACATAAGACCGTCTAACTGTTTATAAAAAGTAAATAAAAATAATCCTTAATATACTATTTTTTAGGTTATTTTTTTATTATTTGCACAAGAAAACCATCTTCAAATTGAAAGCTTTTTTTTCAATTTCAATTTAATTTTTCTATAAGAGGTCTAGGATAATTATATTTGTTGAGTCTACACATTCGGATTTAGATAAAAGTATTTTATTTATTATAACAGTAGACAATATAATGGAGCCATTTTTTTTTGTATCAAAAAAAGATATTCAGACATTCTTGAAAGAAACATTAATTTTTATTATAACTTTCATGAGACATTCTAAATTAATTATTATGTTTTCAGCTTACTCACGTAATAATTGACAAGATACTGGACTAGTTTCAAGCCATGATAAAGGCCTATGAATATGGACCTCTAGCATGGCTTGCTATCTCTAAAAATAATATCCATCGCTAAAAAATATTTAATTTAGAAACATTAATGTGAATATAATATGAAAAGAACAAATATCTTTATTATTTTATTTAATAATTTCTTATTCAACTTAACCTACGCATACAAATATTTTGAACAATCACGATGATTACTTGAAACAAGACTCAAAACTTTAGCAAATCCGAAATTAATCATAATTCACAGCCGAGATCTTAACATAAACAGAAACAATATCGAATCGACTAATGACATGCCAAAATTACTCACTATTTAGAGCGAAGTGCCCAATGGCTTTGCCGAAAGCGACCGTGTAAATGACGAGACAAATTGCTGAGATTACCACTCGATAGGTCACATTAGATCCAGACAAAACAGTCAGGCATTTGCGGGCTTTTGTTCTGTTTACTGCCAATAAACGGTGTTTAAGAAATGTTAATATTAGCCTTTAAGGCCTAATTTTTCAATAGTTAGATAAATGTTATCTGAGGAATAAAATGGTTATTGTCAAGTAAGCTGCGTGTGGTTGACTTTGGTTACCAGTCGATAAATGACATTACATAAAACAGTCAGAGATATGTCTCCAAAACCCTGTCCCCCAAAATGTTTATTTAAGAATATATCTTGCTAAAGTAAATCAAATCAATAATTGCCGCATTACGAAAGTTTTGTCCACCAGAAAATTAATTAGCGAAACATATTTGGTGTTCAAATTTGAACTTTGTGTGGTTGACATTACTAAAGACATTTTTTTTCAACAAACAATTTATTTTAACGATAAGATATTGGTCACAGCCAATCTAAAGGTTATATTAGATCCAGAATTGGAAGGGATTGTGGGAATTTGTTCTGTTTAATGTCGATTAAAAATATTTAAGAAATGTCACTATTAACCTTTAACAAAAGAAAATCTGTTTACTGGCAATAAAGGGTAGGGTGGTCAATGTTTGTCGCATTATGAAATTATGGCCTGTAAGAAATTACATCTAGCATACCGTTCTCGTTACTTTCAGAAGTTCAGAGATTGGGTAGGATTGGGCCTTCAGTATTCCCATTTACACAGCGAAAAACAAACTCTGTCGACTTTTCATGGTAGTTTTCTGCGAGGCCGTTGTATCACTCCGATCGAACAGGCCTATTCGTGCCGAAGCATGACTCTCCCACACTTCAGATGCGATCCAAACATCGTAATTCTCGACAACGTACTAAGAACTTCGTTAATATTGACCAAACTTTTTACAGTGCGAGGTATCGATTAATTCAAAACATATTTAGAAAACGCAGTACAAAAATGAAAGATACTTACCTTAGTAACTCCTTCTATGAAAGCCCTAGTGGCCAGTTCTCCAGGTCCATCAACAGTCTTCCCATCATCATCAGGTCCCCAGGATGCGCTGTAGATGTCCACGTGCTGAGGGTTCAGACTCAAGGAGCGGGCTTCTACTGCATCCGTGACGTCACCGTCCAACATACGTACACCTGTGAACAAAGATATTGTTTGTGTCACAAATGATGTATAATAGTTATATAAACATATATAATGCATGTACGTGTAATAAGTGGCACGTATTCGGGACCTATGGTATACCACAGATATATTTTTATACTATCCTTACAAACCTTTCTTTGGCTGGAGAAGTCAAACAGTACTAATAAATATGTTTGCTGGTTTGTGTGAATGTATGGATGTTTGTTTGTCATTCTTTCACGCAAAAACGGATGGGCCGCGTTAAAAGTATTATTAGTGGTATTTAGATAGGTGACAACCTGATTTAAAACATAGGCTACTTTTCATCACACGGGCGAAGCCGCGAATGGAAGCTAGTTGAAATATAAGACCAATGTGCATAGTAGTTATAGAGACTATTTTATTTAAACTTCATGCACAATGGGTACATAGGCGGACTTAATGCCTAAGGCATTTTCTACAACTATGTACTGAACCGCCTTTGTTTAAATAACAGAATTAAATCTCATACAACTGTAGTCGACACCTTAATTATAAGGTAAAACTAGAAGCCCAAAAACTCTAACTAGATAAGTATAGTTACAAAGTATTTTTATAAAATTCAAAGGAGTGCAAGCATTTAGACAAAAGAATAATTAATTAGCATAAAAGTCCCTGACTAAAGATAAATGTTAATCCCAACAAAAACATGTTTTGTTAACCCATTTTTAGCTGTAATTCGTGTTAATTTCGAGTTCCGGGCGTATCAGCTTCAACAATTTATTTTAGCTGATCCCAAGGGCCTCTTGTGTCGGTACACACGAATTTATAACTTCTAATCAAGTTTTAAATTTCGTCAATAAATACGTTTTATTTTTTTTTACTTAAAATCCAGCTAGGCAATTTCATTTCAAAGTCAAAGTCAAAAATCATTTATTCCAATTAGACCTTTACAGGCACTTTTGAACGTCAAACAAAATTTTGAAGATATAGTGTCAGTCTGTCGGTCAGTCCTCTTAGTGAAGCTATTTGCTCGTTCCAAAGTGTTCCCTTACAATTCAGGCCATATAAACTAATTAAATATCATTACTATCTAAGTTGAGTGTATGGTTGACGGGGTGCCTGGGCAATCGATTCCCGCATGGAACAACTCTTTCTGTGATCCACAATTTTTTTGTCCAAGTATGTCATATCATATTGTATGTTTGTAAATGCACCTACGACTCAGAAAAAGTCCAAGTGTGAGGAAACGTATTACTTAAAACAAAGGAGTAATCAAGATGTACGTTGTATTGCAAGCAAGAAAGGAAAATTACCAACATCGACCACTTATTTACACTGACATAGCATAAACTCGGCAGTCAAACTTACAATTCCCATTCGAAAAGGCCATAAAGTACATCAAAAACAAAATCTTCCATCATTTGATGTCGCTCCCATCCAAGTGATGAACATAAAGTGTTTTATAACGGTATAAATAAACGCTCAGCGACATATCAACGCATGAAAACTGGGACTCGGAAATTCAGAGAATCTCATCTAGCCTTTGACGAAGCTAAATTATAATTTTAAAGCCCTTTAAAGTTGATGAAATCAGCATAAAGATACATACATGGAAGGTTAGTCCTTATGACGATACTCAAACTTGTAAAGAGTGAAGATATTTTAAGTGTAATACTTTAAACAAATATTTTACTTACATTGAAGTTTTATTAAGATATACATTACTTTATGGCTTTTTTATGTAATAGGTCGGCAAACGAGCAGACTTATTACCTGATGGTAAGCAATCAGCGCCGCCCATGGACACTCGCAACGGAGGAGTTACGAGTGCGTTGCTTTGCTGACCTTTTAGGGATTAGGGATTTGGAGAGTTAGGGATTGAGGAGGGATTGGGGGTGGGGTAGGATTGGGCCTCCGGTGACCTCACTCACACGGCGAAACACAACGTTGTGGTTATTTCACGCCGGTTTTCTGTGATGCCGTGGTATCACTCCGGTCGAGCCGATCCATTTGTACCGAAGCATGGCTCTCCTACACTTAAAATAAATAAACCACTGAATAAATAAACAAATGATTGAAAGAGACGATAAACAAATAATCGAGTTCGATTGTATTGAAGAACTAATAAAATTATGTGCTTTAGTAAATCCCCGATTTCAGCAGTGAGACACGTTTGTACTGCAGATCGTAGACACGTGCTATATGACCGTAGTTAACCGCATTAAGGTTAAGAATGTCCATCCATATTTCAAGTACAGATTAATGGAAATCATGAACCAATTTTGATGAAACTTGGTAGGTACTGAATGAAAAAAGATTTAAAAATCATTTTCGTTTTAGGTAAGATAAAGAGAGAGAAAGAAAGAGATGGAAAGAGACAGACAAAGTATACATAGAGAGAGGGTCGGATACGATACTTTGATCTTAGCCAAATGACCGAGAAGCGATAGGGGCTAAGACTAAAGGGGGAGACGAATGCTTCGGCGATACCTGCCTCTCCAACACATGGGTTAATGAGGAACACCAAGTTGGTTTTTAGTCAGTACGAGTCTGACTAAAGCCTTCACACTTTCTTCTAGGGCGGAAGGTCTCCATGAAGAAGGTCTCCATGAGAAAGGTCTCCATGAGGATTTTCCAACCCGATATCAAAAAATAGGGGGAGAGAGGCAGGGAGAAAGAAAGTTTATATGTATGAGAAAACATACTGCGTTAACGCCGCTCTTGAGTAAAACTAGTATTAAAGAAAGACAACAATAAAATTTATATTACACTGAACAGAAAGGTGTAAGTTTAAAAGTGTTGGTTAAGCAAGTAACTCCAGCGAATATGCTTCGTGCAAGCCACGCAAACTAATAACTTCATATTCAACAACGTTTTCATATCACCACGCTGACACGTAAAACTTTGAATTTTCTTATTTGCGCAAACTATTCGCATAAACAAATTTAAAACTTTTCATCGTTCGTTGGTTTGCTAAATTCGTTTATAACTTTCAGTAGTGTATAATATGTATTTAGTGTATACAAAATTAAAACAAACTAACTATGCAAGTTTTTGTCAACATTTTGTGGTGGCCCGGAGGTTAACTCTTATTTTTCATGCATGGATGGCTTTTTCCGAATCCTATGTACAGATATACCTTCTTAGATTATTACATAACTAACAAGACTAACGTGAAGAAAAACATCGTAAGAATACCTAGACTTTTAATTCCTAATTATAAGTTTGACATCGCCAATCGTGATTTTGCGTGTTACTTTCTCCGTGTGAGAAAAAATAGTTTTCATTAATTAAAAATGTTCTATGTTCAGAAACACCCAACGCTGTTTGGTTGGATAAATGTTAGGCACATTCATCCAGGATATAACCAACTTAATATTCAGCACAATACTCACTCTTATGTACATTTTATTTGTATTTTACAACCCACATTATATATACCATCTGTTTATATAAAAAACTGAATAAAAACATACAAGAGAACATAAAAAACCGACAAAAAGTAACAGTAAACTTAAAAAAGGATATATTTTTTTTACTTTGTCGAAACATTTAAAAAGGTATTGTAGTGTATTTTTTCTAAACACTTTTTCTTGAAGTTTTTCTAAGAGTGTATATGCAACCGGTTTGCAAACTTAAAGTCCAAAATCTTGGAAACACCTGAACCGATTTTAATGACAATTGGTACCTATGCACAATAATAGATCATGGTCTTGAAACATACGAACATTTTTACAGGTCATGGTAATTTACAGCTGAACTATAGGCCTGTTCTGATGGCCCTGAGATTAAAGGCACCCCCTTTAAAACGCTGTTTCGTAAATGACGATTTTTTCGTAAATATGAATGTAGAAATACTTTACTTCTTGTAAAATGATAAAAATAAAATTTAACAATCTTCTACATAAAGTTAGAATAAATTAAGTTTGTCTCGCACAAAAATTGTCGTACGTACGTACGTAAAGCAAAAAGTATTTTTGCTAAAATTGTGTTAGATCATTTGGCAGGCACAGTGAGTACACTTATTCTTAAGTATCAATTGTAAGAAATGCTTCGCTTGATTAAACTAAGCCATATAAACTTTATGCGTTTGTGTATTTCTTCATGTACATTTCTGTATGTTTATCTCTCTGTCAGTATAAATAGCGTAACATTTATAACAGTTTTAAGCTTCATTGAGTCACAATTACCTAAGATAGCCTAAAACGTAGGTAGATGGGAAACTTCTTCACTATTTAACGAATGATATTATACATATAACCTTCACCTTCAATCACCCTTATCTATTTAAAAAAAACCATTAAAATCCATTGCGTAGTTTTAAATGTTAAAAGCATTCACTTTTTTTGTTTTAATAATAAACCTTGCCCCACAATAGGATTTTCTCGGGTCTTGGGTGCGCTAACAAACATACAATTCCACATACATATGACACCCAGACCCGGAACAACAATTTGTAAATCACACGAAGATTTGTTCAGTGCGGGAATCGAATTCGCGACACGTTGCACGGCAACCAGTTGCCCAGCGACCGTACCAACCGTGCAGTCAAAATTGGGATATAGGGACAAAGAAATCGACTTTGTTTTATACTATGTAGTGATTTGCAAGCAGGCAATTACAGATTTAATCAGGATCATCAAGAAATGTCTATTTAAAACAACTAACAGTTGTTTTTTTATAATAATCTATCATTTACATATTATTTCATTGCATATTTTTCTAAAGAAATTATTAAGTAAAGTAAGGAGCGTAGTCTAGATGTCTCTTACGAGCATAAATAAGCAAAATAAAAAGCGTACGTAATCAGTAAATCCAGATAGACATTCAGTACATTTATCTTAGTAAATATTTCTTGCGCATTGAATATGTTTAGTCAGACAGAACAACTGAACAATGCTTTATGACTCAAACATAAATTCTGGAAAGAACTATCAAGTTCATATATACCTATATAATATACATTTATTTCTTTTTTTTATTTCTTTAAGAACGTATTTTTTCTAAGTTATATAAACTTAACTTCTTTGTGTATATTGACGCGTCCTTTAAAAGTGATATCATTTTGATTCCAAACTTAAAGAGGATAATTTTCATTTAGAAAATGAATATAAACGTGGCACTTATGAGGTGCTATAACCGAATTCCGACTTGACGCTTGATGTATGTATATTGTATATCTTTTTTTAATGAGATAGGTTAAGCAAACCTCGATGACTCGATATTAAGCAGTCGGCGCCGCTCATGGGTACTCGTCATAATCCAAGTCCATAGTGCTCAAGAGCGGAGCACCAAAAGAGTTAAAGGTGCGTTAAAGACACCTTTCGTGTTTCCTCGACCGGCGAAACAATGTAAGTGCTGTTTCACACCAATATTCTGTGAGGCATCATTTCGATGGAGCCGGCCCATTCGTACCGAAGCAGGTCTCTCTCATAGTTAAAATTAGCTAGTGAACACTACTTAGAAAAAATAACCTTATCTTACACACTTCATTGTGCCACATTTTCTAGAAAAAGTTCTAATTTTGATCAATAATAACAACTAAAGTCAAATCTATGTATGTACATCAGCATAATCGGTCAATAAGATTTTTCCAACATTTTGCAAAAGTAAAGTCTTTGCTTTTGGACAAGCGAACGCGTTCGCGTACCTATTGAGTCTCGAATTACCACGGTTGAAATCTTTTCCTTTTTTCTTTTATGTAATACGAACGGTCGGCAAACGAGCAGACGGATTACCTGATGGTAAGCAATCAGCGCCGCCCATGGAGACGGAGGAGTTACGAAAGTGTTGCCGACCTTTTAGGGATTTGGAGATTTAGGGATTGAGAATTGGGGGAGGGGAAGGATTGGGCCTCCGGTAACCTCATTCTCACAGCTAAATGAAATGAAATGTTAAAACGTAGTTCGTACATCACATTATCAATCTTGTTCTATAGAACACAAGTGTAAGACCTGAGACAAAATCTTAAGAGGCCACTTTAAGAGCACATCAGTCGTGTAATGTGGGTCGTGCCGACGCAAGTCGGTGCTCGTCCACTCTCGGGGACAATGGCCTGCGTTTGTCACACTTTTACATCCATCAGAACCTTTGTGGTGATGCATTTGTATAGCTTATGATTTGTATGTGCAAGTTCTATGCTTTGAGGTTAGTTGCCATTATGTGGTTGGTTACAATTATGTGATTTGTAATTAGTAGATTCAACTGTTAAAATGCTTGAAAATTTTATCTTATTTTTACAATCTTTTTTTTTCAATTGTTTATGAATTTGGTAAAGGGGATTTCCATTAGTATGCCAAACGGTTTTTATTTATGAACTTGTTACTGCTGCAAGCGGCTTCGTTCGCGTTACCCGGATGAAAAGTAGACGATGTGCTGTTCTAATTTTAATCTACATCTGTGCTAATTGTATTTTTTATCAAAGTCCATTCAGTATTTTTAAATTTGAAAGAGTAAAAAACATCCATCCATCCGGCCATCTATATCAGCAAATTTTCTCCAGACCTCGAACAACAATTTATGGTTCTCACAAACAGAAGTTCCGTACGGGAATCGAACCCGCGACACGTTGCATGATAACAGATAGACCAGCCACCGCGTCATCTTATCATCGTACAGTCATGATATTGGTACGATTTACAATGTAAGTTTAATGGGAACGTATATGTAAGTAGTGAAACAGGCCCTTAGTGACTTCTCAGAACGAATAAAAATTCAAAGCCCAAGCAAACGCCGGCTATCTATTGTCCGTCTAATGTGTTTCGAATTACCACGATTGAAAGTTCTCATTAATTTTTAAAATTAAAAAATCTTCTGTTTCGTGGTAGATATAAGTAAGAATCTACATCTTGAAAAGAGACTGACCTCTGAGTCTTGAAAAGAGACTGACCTCTGAGTTTGTTTCGGCATTTCTTCTCAGAGTAGTCAGATAGGAAATGCCGGCTTCATCTAGATTTTCACATATATAATTTGACGTGTAAAAGTGCCGTTTTATGGCCTATTTGCAAAAATAAATTCATTGTTTCATTGTTATATAAAAACGTAGAAATAATTTCTAAATCTTACCTCCAACGCTAGCTCCATAAGCGACGCCCACAGCACACAAGGAGTTGTTGGCAGTAGCAGCCACCTCCCCAGCACACCTGGTGCCATGGCGGTTGGAGTCGATCATGTCGTACCTCGGCTGAGGATCTGAGTCGTGGGAATTGACGTCGTAAGACGCCATTGGATCCTTGCAGAAAAAAAAAGAATTATTTAGACAGTTCACTAATATATCACAGTTTGATAATCCCTTGGGGATTGGGATTGATATTTTCTAAATTAAGATTGTTATGACAGACCTAGTGCCCACATAATTGTAGTAAGGTACGTGGTAAACTAAGTTTGTCTTTATGTCACGTTAAGCGCCATGGGGGTCATCGGTGACCTCCGTTAGCGGAGGATTTGCCTTCAACAGTTTTCTGTCGGCAGTCAAAGGCTTAAAATCTATTTCATTTTCTCGTCCCTCCAGTTAGTTAGTTTTTTTTTGTCAGGAGAAAATCATCAAATGCCTTATCCCGCCCAGAGTAAGACGAGAGAGACTGTCAGACTCTTACAGACTAAAAACCCCCCGTTTCTTCTCCTGCTCTGGGCCGAGGCCGCAGTCCCTTATTGTGGTGGTCTATTGGCTCTTTGAGGCGCATGCAGAAGGCTTCTCGCCAGACGCTCGGTTCTGGTTCTTGGTCAGACGGCGAGGTTACCTTACTCGCCGTCCGCAGACCCGTGCTAAAGGTATCCCTCCAGTTGTTAGGTGGACTACCAATTTTGAATGGACCTACAGCCAGCAGGCCAAAAATGGACTGAAACTATACTAAATACTTTTTTTTTTAAACGTTTTGCCCCACTTTTTAGGATTTTCTCTTGTGTTGTGGGTGCGTTTACAAACATACAATGTCACATACACATGACAACCAGACCCGAAACAACAATTTGTGGATCACACAAAGTGTTGTTCCGTGCGGGAATCGAACCCGCGACACGTTGCACGGCAGCCAGTCACCCAGCCACCGCACCAACCGTGCAGTCAAACTATATAAACTATATGTATAAACCTATCATATACTATATAAACCGACAAAATGAAAGTTTATCTACGAAACATACAACTAAATATTAGTTGCCTACAAATTGAATCTAGTTACCAAATTACATGATTACAAATTCATACGCCAATCAACAGCTTAAATTGCCAAATCCAATATAGGTAGTCCAAATCCTAAGATTACATTTCATTATCAATTCAATGCGTATTAACATCATGTAATAGTAGATACTTGAACCGATTAAGCCTGTAATTTAATTTTCCTGAACTATGTATGAAAATAATACACGTCGCACTTCAACGTATACTCATGTACTTAATAGATATTCAACCTAATAACTTAACGATAAAGTTGTGAATCGATCAAAGTATTTTGGTAATTTAGTATAGTTTGAATTGCTGTTGTCTACTAATCCCGATACAACGCGAAGTTGTGCCGGTTGTCGCAAAAAAGTCGCCACAGTACAACCGCGACCCAATTACCCATTTTTTTCCCGAACGCTAACAGTGAAATTAAAGCCGCACCGGGCGAGATGAATCGTGTAATTTGAAACTCCGAACCTTTTGTTCGAAGCACAGATGTCACTCTACGGCCCTTTATCGCGAAAGCGTGGATCCCCCGCGTTTTACTCCGTTCCCGTTCCGATTTCATCCGCTATTTTTTTTCAAACATTTCCATCTAACGTAGATGGAAAACCGGCGTGAAGCAATACTTACGATGTGTTCGCCGTATGTGTAAGTGAAGATACCGGAGGCCCAATTCTTCACCCTTCCCCCATTTTCAACCCTCAAATCCCCTTAACTAAAATCCCTTATAACCCACAAGGCCGGCCAAGAATTTGTAGTAATTCCTTAGGTACTACGAGTGTCAATGGGCGGCTCTGATTGCTTACTATCAGTTAATCAGTCTGCTCGTTCGCCGACTTATGACATAAAAAAAGATAGGAAGATAGGTGGATTCGCTCTAAAATCCCACCGAAAGATTTGATAGCGCAAGACACGAAAGCAACGTCATAAAACATTCAATGTGACAATTTCAAAGGAATTCGAAATTTGAAATATCGAAGAGGTGGAATTTGCGACGTGTTTAACGAGGGAAACTGATCGAAGACTTACAAGTTTGTGTTTGAATCGAGATCTATGGATGTACGGTGTATTAAGTTTTATTTTTATGAAAAAGGTCTGCAAACGAGCAGACTTATTACTTGATGGTAAGCAATCGGCGCCGCCCATGAACAGCGCAACAGCAAAGGAGTTACGAATACGTTACCGGCCTTTTAGGTATCAAGGTTTCGGATATTTGAGCATTGGGAAGGGATGGGGGAAGGAATTGGGCCTGCGGTCTTTGTGGAAGTAGAGTTCTTTATGGAAGAATCTCACAATTGATACAACCAGTTTTAAAGAATAATGAGCAAAAGAATACACACAATTTCATTAAGTATCAACTACACATGTCATTATAATAAAGTACTCCTTATTTAAGAATAAATGATGACTAAAATGATGACTTACATAATTAGCTACCAAATCGGGATGGTCAGTCTCAAGGCCATCATCAAGAATGGTCACCACCACTCCACGGCCAGTGATACCTTCCCGCCACGCTGGTATAACATTCATATCTAAACCACCTCCTCGATTCTGTAAGCAAAAAAACAAAATAAATAACAATAAACACATGAAAACATAAATATTTACAAAATACCTACATCTATAATCATTTAGTAGATGATTTACGAAAGCATTTGGCAGTAATATCCACAAACAAGAAGTAATAAAATAAAAACCAATGACCCACTTAAATCTTCGGTGGTCGTAAAATCGTGAAATGTATCACAAAAATGAGACGCACTGGTAAAACCAATTACTCAACCGGCAGCCATCAGCGAAGATTTTTTAATTTACAAAATTGTTAGTAAAACGAATTTGTTGAAATGTATTTGCAACAGAGGCAGGCGAATGAAACGAAGTAATATCAGACGCAACGCCGACACGACCACTGGAAATTTTGTATTGACGGATCGTTTCACTGATAAAGCCAGGGACGAATTTACGTGTTTTTTTTTTTTTGGGGATATAACCCCTAAGCCTGGGCCTTCAGATATGAGAGGTCAAACTCCATGGCAAATGAAACGAAATCATTTCAATTCAAAACGAATTCGATTCAAGAATACTTTTAAATACTTTTTTAAAAAGCCTTTTTTTAAATCGAATTGTTCTTAAAACATTCTATATTTGAATATTTGAGTGATTTGATTATCGAAGCAAGCTTATGCCAGTTTAAGCCCTGTCCCCAGTCCATCTCTGTATGTACCTAAACGAAATTGCTTTGTATATCAAATATTTTAGATCGCTCAAAAAATACAAGTGAACAAAAGCAAACAAATTCTAAATTGAAATTACTTCAGTTAAATGACTGACGAATGTGTGCGTATACTGTGTATTAACGTTTTTTTGTGGTCAGAATTGACTTTTCCAATTTGTCGATATAAATTGGAAAGGCAATAAGTGGGATTCAAACGTAAAATTGTGTCGGATTTTCAATAGTTATTTTGGCAAGAATGTCATATTAATGTTTCCTATTTTTTCGTAAGTGGCAATATTCAAAATTGTCAGTCGGAATACGCTGTCGAGCGACCTAAAGGCGCTCTTTAGACGAACTTTTACCCACAGGCTGCTGGTTGTAGGTGACAGAAGATTTAAAGGATAATAAAATTGCTGTAGCTGGTTCGTTTAGGCTGATCGAATACTCCGATTCTATAGCAACATCAGGCTAGAAGGAACACAGTCATTTAAGTCATTAAGAATCTGACACTAGTTCTCGCGCCACTTAGGAACGAATTGGGTTTTACCCCTCAAACAAGAAAGAAAATAAATGAAAACTAAATGGACTACTGACATGTGCATTGTGCATGTTTCTTAAGAACACCTTCCATAGGAAAAATTGTATGTCAGATCAGACTCGCAACTAAAATTGAGACATTACAGAACGTTAAGTATAAATACTGAACTCAGAGGTCAAGGACTTTTTCTAGCTGATATAATACAAATTAATTCACTTAAAAACCTCGTAATAGGCCCAAATGTATAGAGATACGAAATCAAAAACATTTCGACCCTCATTACGTGAGTTAAAGAAGATTTTATGTAAGAATTAGGCAAATTTTCCTCAATATCTTAATAGAACTCACATTTTTGGCTTCGGCTTCGTCAATATTTAAGGAGAGTGTTATAAAGTATAAACTTTACTCGAAGAAAATTAAACTCCTCACTGTTCAGAGGAATCGGTAAAGAAAAACAAAAACGATGCGAAACGTATGCTTACACAGTATAACTTTTCACTTTACAAGTCTTTGATATAATTTCCCTCAACAATGTTCCGGTTTCAAATTGAATACCACCTCCACAATTGTAACGACACCAGTACTTATTAAGTATTTGCTCTTCACTTTGCTAATGTGTTATTATAAACACGTATAAACATAACACCAATTGAATTCGTCACGTAATATTTATCTCTGACTCTTCAATAAATGTTTTATACATCTGTCTCTAAAATTTATCTTTGTATTGTATATTATAGGAATTATTCAATTATTGAAAATAGAACTAAATGGCTACGGACTAAATCTGATAGGCAATTACGATGACTAGCAATATTTTTTTTATAAGGCTGCAAAACAAATCACCAAGACCAAGGACCGGAAAACGTAGTGTGGGCAGGCGTCCCGCTAGGTGGACCGACGACATCGTCAGAGTCGCGGGCAGCCAATGGATGCAGGTGGCAACTTGTCGTTCGACATGGAGAGCTAAGGGGGAGGCCTTTGTCCAGCAGTGGACGTCTTCCGGCTGATGATGATGATGAAAACAAATCACCTGATGCTCAGCAATCAGCTGCACCCATTGTTACTGGCAACACCATTGGAGATGGACTAACGATTGCATTGCCAAAATTTCGGAGATGAGGGGATATTAGGATTAGAATGACAAAACTGATCAAGAGTGAGAGTATCTTCTATCGATCTATCTAAGTCTTTTCTACCTATCTTTTCAGCTACTAATAGCGTGATTAGCAACATAATATATATTTTACCCTTCGAGCTAATAAATTAGAAGAAAATAAAAGATTATTATCATGTAATTATTCAGTGCCCCAACGCTATCCATCTTTCCTACTCTAATTAATTCCAAATACTAATTTGTTGAACCAACAAAGTTTTAATAAGCTATACTATGAGTACTGGGTATAAACGCCTTTTATACTTTAAATTAACTTTTATAGCTTTAATGAACTTCTAAGTAGTTTAAGATAGCTATGTGTTAAAAGTGTCTGAACCGTTTTTACACAACAAAAATATTATTCTATACAGAATCGTAAATTTTCGTTTTGTGTTTTTCTCTACTTTCTTTGGTCAAAAATTAATAGTTACGACTTTTTAGGAAAAAACATTTTAAAAATATCATACTTCTATTTTATTGATATTTCAGAATAATGATATTTCTTATTTTTTCTATAAGTTTTTAACGTTGTCTTACACAAAGTTTTTCTTCTTTGACATGCAAACACAATTTTCTAATACACAAAAATCACAATTGCCTACCGTGTCAACCATGCACCCAAGTTTTGCTATATGTACCTATGTCATTTAAATTTTAATTCCCATTTAAACTGAAGTGAACACAGATTTAACTCAAAACCAAGATTTTGACAATCCTTCATTGGCAAAAAACGATGTCGAATCCAAATAAAATTAACATAAAGGAATTTTCATTATATTTTATTATTCAATACATTTTCCTCTTCTATTGTCTGTTCCTTTGATTCTAGTCTAGATACGAAGAACTATAAAACTAAGCGGTCATACATAATCAGATTGCCACTCCTCAAGGTCAGTCCTGGTCTAGGCACTTAGACTAAAGTGGCTAGCTTTTAGAACTGAGAATATAATTATGGCATTTCTTTGAAGGAAACGCGAGAGTGTTACGTCTAAAGAGCTCTATAGCGATTGATAGGTTTAGCACGGACAATTAGAGAAAAGGCTTCCTTGCTCATATAATGTAATTTCTTATTGTTTGATTGGTTAAAAAAATAAGTGCTGCTGTGTGAAAAAGGTCTAACTACTGTCGCGCAGGGCAAACACCTTGCACTTTTTTTAAAAGAATATTAGGCAAATGCTTAGGTAAGTGATCTACTTACACCGCCGATGGACACCAAATCAAGGGTTACCGGTCTTTAAAGTTGGTTTTATCGTGATAGTGACGACCTAGGAAACTTTCATACAAGATTATTTCAAGATCTCTAAAACATTTATATAAAAAATGGTGTGTGTACTAACATATAACTACTTAAATACCTTGGTAGGCTTGATGTTGGAATTATCAATGTCTATACAATCATAATATATTTTAATGTTGGTAGTATTAACACAGATTTATTTATTGTTAAGTTGGTAACACATAGAATAGTTGGTCTATGATAATAGTTGGCTATGATTTTTTTTCTTTTCGCAGTTGTACTTGTAACGGAAACAGTGTGTGTGGAATGAAACAGTTCTTTTGAGACACAACAACTTGACGTTTCAGCCTGGTTGCAAAGGTCGTAAGCAGACCCCTTAGTAGACTTAAAAGTTTAGTATGGTGTGTGTACTTACTAGATACCACATATGAGGCCACTTTGGGTCGTTGAGTTGAAACTTAGAGTCAGCAGCTCTTGGCCGTCCCTTCACCCGTGACGGTTGGAGCTCTCGCTTCGAATTAGTGTCGCGCTTCGACGCCGCTGACGGCGCAGGCGCGGCCGACGCAGGCGCATCGGATGGCGTCGTTTTAGCTGCGACAAAAAACAAACGTCACGACAAGTTGCACGCTTGGCTAAATAGCTTGTACTGCGAATCTAGGATAGTGTGTCGATTACGACGGTGGCAATGATGACAATGTATATTTTTATTTCTAAAGCGCTACGAAATGCAAAGAAAATAAAAATGTAAATAAAAATTACTTAAAATAGCATACATTTATAGTAAATAGTGCGAAGTTGCTGCGACGCAAACGCTGCTAGTGAATAAGATCCCGTAAGTTCCCGTTGTGACTTGAAACTAGTAGAGTTTATCTCAGTAAATTCACGTGAATAGGTCAAATTTAGTATTAGATATATTTCTTTTTTTACATTTTCCCACATTAGGCTTTTCTCCTGTTTCGTGGGTGCGTTCACAAACATGCAATTTCACATACACACGACGCCCAGACCCGGAACAACAATTTGTGGATCACACAAAGAGTTGTTCCGTGCGGGCATCTAACCCGCGACAAGTTTCGCCGCAGCCAGTTGCCCAGCCACCGCGCCAACCGAAATGTTCTAAAATAACATACCTGTAGAATGATATGAATCTGGTATAGTTTGAAAATCTCTCTTCTTTCTTGAGAGAGCGCGTTGCTGTTTCGCCCATCGCACTCGGTTGTCTCCCTCTAACATGCCATGATGCTCGTGCGCAGGCGTGATCGACCGCTTCACTATCGCATTGTGGTGGAAGTGGTAGTGGTCCTCGAATATCTGGGGAAGAATAAGAAATATTTTAGAACAATTTATAAAGAAGGTACGTGCCAATCGGTGTATTTTTTTTCATGCATATTTTAAAAACCGAAGTCATAATCAATAAACTCTTTTGAAATTCATCTACATAATGAAGGTAACGATGCCTGCGTGCGACGTGCTGTAGAAAAAAAGAGACTACGTTCTACAAAATTATTAAATTATAATTTTCTTCGCCTAATATCACAGAGGATAAGGGCAAGATTCCAAACAAACACTTTTAAACTCAAAACGTTTCTTATATTAAATTTAACATAACAACCTCAATTTACATTTTTATTTCAATACAAGAGACGTTATTGTTTCGATTATTAATTGTGTAACCTAAAACTAAATGCACCAAAGATAAAATCTAATACAATACAAAGTAATTCCCTAACTGTAGTCCATTATGACACTGATAGCTACAGATAAGAATTCCCAGCAATAAAAGCAAATGAACGAATAAAGTAAATTTTCTAGCTTAATTACAATAATAACCCGGTTTCAATTCAAAATGCGGAGTCAAATATTTATGAAGCCACTGCATTCCTACGTGGACGTACTCTAATTAACTTTGTTTATATAATTAACTTCTATCAAAACTATTTTGGTAAATTCAATATAGAGACTTTGCAATTTAAAGAGTAATATTACCACGAGTTTTATTCCCGATATGTAGAAACGTAATTTCAAATAGGTATTTATAAATGACTAGCTACTGTCCCGCGGTTTCACCCGCTGCTCGGCACCTACATAATTATCTTAGCGTGATGTCTATAGTCTTCCTCGATAAATGGACTAACAAACACAAAAAATATTGTTCAATTTAAACCAGCAGTTCCGGAGATTAGCGCGTTCAAACAAACTCTACAGCTTTATAATATTAGAATAAATAATAAATACTAAGATCCCGATAATAACATGTACCACAATAAAAAATATGGATGAAGTAGAAATGTCCAAAAGTAATTTTAAAATTTAAAATATAATAAACGCGTTCGAAATGACAGCCCAATGAGTTTGAATTCGAAAAGAAAAAATATAAAATATCGCAAATATATTTTTACGCTAACCAAATCAATGGTGCGAAATATTTCTGGCAATTAAAGAGTTTTAATAACATTTTTTGCATTTTTTCCTCGACATTGCTGAAAATTGTTTAAAAAAAAACACTAATGACGTTAATTTACGGTTCAATAGACTCGAATTCAGTCAGTTCGAAATGTGTTTTGAAATAACCGGAGCTTGAAGTGACCAGCAACCCGCTCGTGGGTACTCGTGCAGAGCCACAATTGTGATGTAGGTACGTGTGTTTATATGTGTAAATTTAAAAAACCGTACACAAAATGTAGAATGTTTAGAATTTAGAATTCGAATTCTATATTTGATTGTTATAGATAGCAATGGTAATAGTTTGAATTAAAAAATTAAATTCGAATGTAAATTCAGTTTTTAATTTTAAATTTATCTATTTGGTTTTTGACCTATTTCCGATAATAGACGGTTTTATTTAAATAACTGATGAAAATCAAGTAAGTTAATTAATAAACCACTAAACATTACATTACGAATTCAAATAATTCGCAATAAAATTAAAATATTCAAATTGTACAGATATAAACCGTTTAATCATAATAATATAAAGTTATAATAAATGCGGTGAAATATTAATATAACATTTTCCTCCGTTTCAATACAATTTATGATAACGTTTCCCATATTTCACTTTACGCTTTGGCATATAAAATTTATGAAAAGACGCTCAGTCTCTGGAGTACGAGTGGTCTGTTAAAAGAAAACGCCTCGAATTTTCCATTGGTAGAAATTATTATGAATGTACTTACAAAGCTTCATATGTAACTTACCTACAATACATATAATTATGTAACGTAGATTCATTATGGCTTCAATGCCAGGTAGGAAAATCGAAAATCTATCTAGCCCGTCAATACCATGTACAGCTGTATTTTTTTATTTTGTCATATAAGAAAACAAATACTCAGATAAAACGAATTTAAATTTAGAAGCTCTCTCTTCGAAATTTAAATTTCGTCGGATTTCTGTGCGGCCCGGTATCACTGGTCTAGCCGATCCATTCGTGCCTAAGCATGGCTCTCGCACACTACTTATAACTTAATTGTTGCCATGTCTTGAATATTTTTTACTGCAGGATTTTATATTACGTACAATTTAAAACTCTTACTTAATGATATATAAAAAAATAATGATTGTGATTTCCCTGTCCATACGACATAAGTAATGAAGTAAAAGCTAAATCTTATAATTGAAAAAGTCGAGGATAAGAAATGAGAAAAAAAATAAAGAATTGGCAAAGCGTTCGTTCTACACGACGAATGCTGAAATTTTCATATAACTCCCATCTCCGCATTGCGGTGTCGTGTTTGATATGTCATTCGAAAAATATTACTCTACGAACAAAAATATAGGCATTTGATGTATAAATAATAAATATCTACAAACTAGTGAAAAACTTACGCGATTTTGTATTTAAAAGATCATAGTGATTTGCTTACACCAATTAAACATTGTTTTGTTTGTTTTTTATTGTATTTACAAACCGAAACCACTCGAAGCCTTCTCATTCCAGAATAGAATTAGATATCTAATATCTAATAAAAAACAGTACATTTGGTGATCTTTCACAATCGACGACAGATAACGGAATGTTCATTTTTGCGTAAATTATGAATTATATATATTATTGATTTGTTTTTAGAAATTCTCTTTATAATTAATTCTATGTAAGTTTGAAGTCAGTGTATAAAACTTGTTTGATTTTCTTGTTTCAATATCCTATTGCAACAAAAGTAAAAAAAAAAAAATTCTCAAAGTCGAACCCAAGAAGTGTCCGTTTGGCCTCCCCAGGTTTTAACTCCGACAAAATACAACCCCGATAACATTTGACACGTTTTGTCATTCAGCATAACGACATGATCAGGAAAATGCGTCCTTTCGGGAACATTCACTTTTATTTCATAATTCAATTAATTTTAAAGTTTATTTTCCTCTGGCAATATGCTGGCGTATTTGCTGAAGCCAGGAGGAGACAGACACAAGGCCACATTGGGATGCCATAAATATATTCTTCGCTTACAAGTTGGGCTTTAGTTTTCCTATCAATTTTTGGTAAAAGTAACATAGTATAAGGTATGTATACATAAAAAAATATATTTCATTTTTAGTGTTGCATTAAATTTAATGTGATGTACCTAGATCTAGAAATTATTCCTTCATGCGTCGCACACCTCTGTCTCGCACGATCTTGAAACTAGCAGTGTAACGAGCATTTTGGATTGTAGAATCTAGAACAGTAAGGATCCGATCGGCCCAACGGCCAAAGGTCTCAAATCTCTCCAGTATTCAAGTCAGCGTAGACACTCGAGTGACGATTTAAAATTATTAGGGTTAAACAGTCTGTGCGAGGAGCCTAAATTTGGGTCTCTTCTGTCTGTAAAGACGTGTGAATACTACCACATATCATTAGTTTTTAATCGTTTAAGATAATGGTCCGTTGAAACCTTAGTTGAAATCGAAAACCAATTTCTTTGACAATAAAATGAAGTTCAATTGAATTTTGTAATCAAGAGTTTCAATTACAACAAAAGGTATAAAAATAATAAAGATTCAAATTTTTTATGTTCATTTTATTCATAGTTACAGTCATCTTCAATCTAACTCGCCTACGACCAAATGAATTCTTACAAAAGTAATAACTATTGAATTTAAGCTGCGAAAAAGTAATTTGCCAATGAATACTTCACTGGTTTCGTTGTGTGTAATTTGAAAATCAATTCTAAGATTTGATTAGAAAATATATAGTTTGAGAAATGCTTATGAAAGTGACCAAAACCTTCACTTTAAAGTGTAAAACATAATTATATTATTTTGTATTTTTTCTACGTGCCATTGTTTTGTTTCTTTTCTTTTTCGCAACACGATTAATTTTAAAGCAGCCTTTACGGTCAACAAGACACGCGGGAAAGGGATTCTCACCGAGAAAACCCGCGGGCATCGTGTCTCCCGTATTTATGAACTCACGTGGAAAAAGGGATTTCATGCAGCCATGAAGATACAATATTCAGGCAACCATGCCATACTGTCTCACTTTCTTGCAAAATTTGGCAGCTTACCGGCTTTAAACAAAGGATTTTGTAGCACAAACACGTCTGTCGAAAACTCGTGTTCGTAGTAATTAATTTTGTTCTATACGAACTACGAACAGTATTTGATGGTGACGCGGAAAATGTTTTGTTTAAAATATATTTATGGAAGAGATTTTAAATACACAAATGATAGTGATACTCAATATTCGAACGAGTATCTGAAAATGCATTGTTCAATTGAGCTGCATTTGCCATAATCCTTATGTGTTTAAAAAACGTACTCGAAAATATTCCTAAAATGCTGAATGTAGTGCTAAAATCCATCGTTCATTTTTCTATGTTGGTACCAGGGCTTTGTACGCATGAATAATTAATTTAACGAATGCAAAGCCGCAGGCAGGTCGCTAGCGTAACAAAAATGTCAAACATTAAAAAAAATGTTCAAACAACTTTGAAAAAGGAATTAGCATTTAAAAATGAATAAGTTGGTGACAGTTAAGGATTTAAAAATAAAAACTTAAAAAGTGGTGCCAGCAAGTTTTTTAAATGTTGTTAATAATGTTTGGATTTTTCTGCTACATTTTTTCGAGGGAAAGGGGTAGTTTCGTGTCAGTGCACATAGTCCTTAGAAAACTGTTTTGCCCCGAAGGGGAATCGTGACCTGCGCCGACTAAACGGGGGAGTGGTGACAAATGACACGGCCATCTTTGTGTGATATTCATTCTTCTTGCTTATCCTTTGATCGTTAAATTGACGAAAGCAAGATTTGTAAATATTAATAATAGGTATTTGTCAAGTTTTAGCAAAGTCATTGAGTTTTTTCTCGCGAAGTATAAAGCAATACATCAGTCGTCA